CCGACAAAACATCATTATCTCTTGACTAACGAGTTATCTCATAGTTCTATATAAAAGTTTTAACGTCACTTCTTCTCGTGGATAACGTTCTATAGCTTTTACGAAATTCAATCTAAAAAAAAAAAGAAAAAGAAAAAAAAAGAAAAAGAAAAAAAAAAGAAAGAAAGAAATTATGGTGATAAATTCCCTTGGGGATAAGCTCGAGGAAGAAACTTCGTGGTGCGAATGATGGAAAAGCGAAGATCCGTCAGGAAAAAGTATTTCCCATCCCACAGAGAGAGAAAGAGAGAAAGAGAAAAAGAGAGAGAGAGAGAGGGAGAGAAAGGAAGAAAGAGGCTTTGAACTAACCGGAAACACACGTGATCTTTCCCAAAAACTTTCGTAAACGAGAATGAAGTAATCACAAACTCAGTTTCTATTCCGTAACATACGACTATTTCTAATTCATTTCTAACTTCTTCGTAGACTTATTTTATTGATTAACTATGTCATAAACTCGTCGTACATTGACTAACTCATTTCTTAAACTCATATATTTATGAATTTCTTCATAGGCAGATCATATATTTGAAATGTCGAATGAGAAAATATACTGAGAGAAATATAAAAAAAAGAAAAAAAAAAAAATTAATACTAATATTTAAATTAATAAATAAATAATATATTTTCAGCTAATACTCGTTCGTACTTATAATCACATTGAATTCAAGTTGCTAAAATGAGTCTCTCCCTCCCCCACCCTTCCGCCCCCTCCCGCTCCCTCCCGTCCCCTGACATAGACGAGACTAAAGATTTTCTCGTTGTTGTTGGGAGGAATAGGGGAAGAAAAACGATATAGATTTCTAAATATAACACGAGGAGAGTACGATTTAGCTTACTCGATGACCGCTATTCGAACATCGAAATCTATGTTGTTCGAGGTCGTACGGATAAAAGAAGAAAGGAAAAAAAAAAAAAAGGAAAAAGAAAAGGAAAAAAAAAATGAAAAACAAGAAAAACCGATTGTCGATGGGGGACAAAAAAAAAAAGAAAAAATAAATTAATTAGAAAGAAATATATTAATAACGATAAGAAATAAATCGTGTTCTACGTTAGTCCGACAAATAAAAATTCAATAATTACAAATATTGTATTTAATTAATACAAAACAACGGGCAGGTAAATTGACGTGACGCGACGCGGTTAAAACACAAATTAACGATCTTGTTAATGTGGTAAGAAAGCAACTCGTAAATCATATCACGCGTGAATATATACATATTTCACATAGGTACATACATATATAAATATGAGAGAAGGTTGAGAATGTACATACATATATAATATATATATATATACATACACACACACTCATATATATATATATATATATATATATATATATATATATATAAGAAGTAAAAGCGAATAGACGAAGAGCTGCAGACGTCCATAAGAAAATTGCTTCCTCGAATCGAGGGCGCTTGGAAGTCTCCTAAACGGAAGAAAAGAGTATTATAGGTGTATGATGTAAGAGAAAGAGAAAGAGAAAGGAAAAGAAAGAGAGAGAGAGAGAGAGAGAGAGAGAGAGAGAGAGAGAGAGAGAGAGAGAGAGAGAGACAGAGAGAAAGATGCAAGTAAAGTGGATAAAAAAAAAAGGAGAGAAAGTACCGTTGATAGGGCGAGAGAGGAACTCCGTCGTGCTGTTCGCCGTGTCACTTCAGATATTGCTTTTATATTGGATTTTCGGTCTTATTTTACGAAACGAGAAGAACCACCAAAAGCCTTTGATTTTTTTTTTTTCTGCACCCTTCAAAGTCTCCTTTCTCTCTTTCTCATTCTATCCTTTCTTTCTTGAATTATTGCCTCCTTATTTTCTTTGCTCCGTCAAACACCTTCCTTTTATCTAAGCGGAGAAAGAAATAATTATTACAAAGAAAATGTATATAGCCGATAATAAATACGAGAATATGAAATAGAAAGGAAAAAAGAAAGAAAAAAAAAAAAAAAAAAAGAAAAAGAACAAAAAGAACAAAAAAAAAAAAAAAAAAAAAAGAAAAGAAATGAAATGAAAGAAACAAGGATAAAACTTGGAAATGGAATACGTGGCCGTATTCCTGGCGTATCGATCAGCAAACCAGATACAACACACCACGCCCACCTATCAATTAACGAACCTTCCTAAAGCGGGTATCTACGAAAAAAAAAAAAAAAAAAAAAAAAAGAAAGAAAAAAGAAAATAAGAAAAGAAAAAAAAAGGAAAAAAAAAGAAAAAAAAAGAATATAGATCGCATCAACGCGAGCAATATCTTTTTTTTTTTTTTTTTTTTACATGGTCAAAAGATTTAGATATTTTATATGATATATAAGTGTACTCGATCGTAAAACACTTAACACTCGAGTAAATCAATTTAATAATTTTATCTATTAATATCTAATCTCTCTTTTTCTCTTTCTCTTTCTCTCTAACGGAGATTAGCAAATTATTGATCCTATTAAGTCGTAAACGGTATATTTAACG